AAGATCATTTGCATCCAGATCTCCAGAGCTAAGGGCAGGTACAGCTGGACCTCCCCAAACCTTCCCATAATGCTTCCCACTGCAGCTAGAATGATTTATTTGGGAAGTCGACAATGTGACTTGTCAGGGAGAAGAGGTCTTATATAAGATCACAGGTCCAAATCTCCCCTACAATCTATCAAGCACATCGTCACACATCTGCCTGTCCAGTCTTTTCTGTATTTTGAGGTCAGCTTATTGTTATCTGCAAGTAATCAATAATTAGCCAGAGAACCTGTTTCTGCAGATTCTCCCCCAGCCAAATCTAGGCACTTCTCAGGGCGACATCTCAGCCACATGAAGTCAAAGGGAGTTTTGCAAATTCAACAGAGCTAGGATTTCACATTCACTAGGCTTATAATTGTTCCATAGTGTGACTAGAAAAGAGCTTCTAAGCTGAAGCAAATGTGGGATTTTGAAAAATATGCCTAAAATGGAAACCTTAGGGTTCGATGTCTCGGGACCATATGCCTAAAATGGAAACCATAGGGTTCGATGTCTTGGGACCAATTTAGTAAATGTATAGCAGAGCCATTGCCACAAAGCAAGAGAAGAAGGTACAGCCACCCCTTCAAAGTCTTCTCAGGAAAGAGCTCTGCTACAGAAAATGTGCCGTTTTACTCTCAAATTATGTCAAATGCCTTTTCCTACCAGCTTTTTTAATAGTGAGGTGTACATCTGAGCGATCTAAAGTTCGTGATCCATTCAGTGGTCTCAACTAAATGCAACGTGAAAGAGATGTTGCTTCACGAGAACCCACTTTAATTTCAATGGGCTTGTTCAGAAACCAAGCAGGAGGGTGTGTGTTTTATAGATCTGGGAGTCGGTGTGCCAGAGACGATCCCTTTACCGGCATTCAAACAGGTGAACTTAATCCAGTCGTAGACGCTTTCAAGAGCTGAAGGGCCAAGCCACTGCTTCTGCATCCCATGAGTGCCATGACACATGCATGGGCATGCATTGTCTTGCACTCACCGCTGAATTTATGTCCCTTGTCTATGTTCCCACCCACAAGCTCACACTCTCCCATCCTCACACCCCCTCATGCCCACGTGGAAACACACACCAGTGCTCACCTGCACTCCCCCCTGTGTTTGCACACGTGCTCACGAGCATACTGGCAGCTGGATACTGGGCTGCTCAGACTGGCAATGCAACAGGTTTCTTTTGATGCTTTTTAGAAAATAGCAGCAGCCGACCTTGCTTCTGGCCTGATGTACTTTGGATGCAGCATCCACGGACAGCTGGATCTGAACGAAGATGGCCTCACAGACCTGGCTGTCGGCTCTCTCGGGAACGCTGTGCTATTATGGTTGGATATACCTCACTTCTCTGTTACTGTTCTTGCACTCAAGCTTGTCCTGGAAAACTATCGGTCACGGGGACAGCTGCTCTTGTGTCACAGTGCTGCTCCCAGCCCAGGGGCTCTCGAGTCACAGGTCACTACTGAGACCCCCCCACCCCCCACATTGATTGTAGCTACAGGAGGTTTTGCTTTCTGCAGGGACCTGTTTGTCTAGGCTGGATGGGAGAACGCGGCCTGCAGCACATTTCCTGTCCTCTGTTATTGGGGCAGCAAAAATTGGGGACCCTCAATGAGCCAATAAGCAATGCAAGAACTAAGGTTCAATGCAGTTGTAACCCAGGGTCAAAATCTTCCCTCGCCGAACTTCCAAATCCCACAAAGATCAAGACTTAATACTGTTGCCGCAAGCTCTCATTTAGTCAATAAGTGAATACATTAAGGCAGTAGCTAATGCTGGGAAAGCACCTTGAAGACACAAGGACGGAGGCTCAGCTGGTCTCCTGAGCTGGTTCCAATGATGGCAGCTAAGCTGGGCTAATGTATTACACCAAAGGATTGACCTCAAAGCTGCTAGATAATTGTATAGGGCTGGATTCCCTTCTTGCTTAGGATAACGTCACTCTAGTCCAAGTACCTGGGGGTGCAGAAGAGAGTTAGGCCCGCAGTAGTACTCTCCCAGACTGAGCGGTGAGCGGTGGTGTCCTTCACTCGATGCCGCCCGTAAGGCCCCATGGGGCTATGATGATTCAAGTAGGACACCGGTATGCAGCATGGTCCTTCACAGCCAGGGCTTCCTCCTTTCCTGGCTGTAGCTCACCATTAGACCCCTTAAAAGTTTTGAAGTCACCCCTTGCAGGTGTCTTCTTTCCCAGACCCCTTTTCTGGAGCATCTGGATTTATGAAGGTGGCCGGGCACCTTTACAAAGAGGTGGCTGCAGGCTTGTTGGGGGGTCACCTGTAGGTAGCTGAAGGAGTTTGGGACCTACAGAGGGTTGGGGAGGGGGTTGTCCTCTAGCCTGGTTTACGCATCCAAAGGTGAGCAGCATCCAGCGTTGCGGTACAGCTCGCGTCCCTCGTTCCCACGGCAGGTCCCGCAGCGTGGTCCAGATCAACGCCAGCATCCGGTTCGAGCCATCCAAAATCAACATCTTCAACAAGGACTGCAAGAGGAATGGCAAGGACGCCACCTGCATGTCTGCCTTCATCTGCTTCACCGCTGTCTTCCTCTCACCTCACTTCCACACCTTTAGCCTGGGTGAGTGAAGCCTCCCGCTCCCATGAGGAGCAGCTTTTGTACCCACCCGGGGAGGAGCAGGTCCGTGTCAGTCCTGGGGATGCAAGGAGGGGGCTGAGCTGAGAGCTGGCTTGGCTGTGAGGATAGCACCATGCCCACACACAGGCTCACCTGGCCTGCCCAGCTCTCTGCCCCTGCCCCAGCCCTGGGCAGCTTGCAACGGTGGAGGTGGGGTGTCAGGTGCTCATCCCACAGGTCCCCAGTGCAGAAGGCCCAGAGGTGCAAAACCAACTGGTGCGTTTTCCCTGCACTACTTCTGGTTGGGGAGTTCAAGGGTGGGGTGTCCCAGTGCAGAGCCTGATGCTGGCACTGGGTGGCACCCATATAGCCACAACCCCGCATCCGTGCACGCCGAGGGCAGCCTGGCCAGCTGTCAGGATCAAGGAGAATGCAGAAAATGGAGCCATGGCTCAATCTCTGTGCAAAACTGTGTGATTTTTGTTAAAGACAGCTCCCATCCTGCCTGGTGCTGAGGTTCTTGGGTTGTGATTTATGGCCTTAACCCAATGTGCGGAGGGCGAGCTTGGACTAATTCCTTGTGAGCTGGCCTCACCTCCAAGGTCTTTATCCAGGGCTAAGGGCAGGGCCTCACAGATAAGTACCCTCCCTACCCTACAGTCAGCTATTCCACTGTAACTGCCCACCTGTATGCATGCTCTATAAGTGAGAGAAAACCTGTGGTCATTTCCACTTCATGCAAAAGAGAGTCCACGTTCCTGGATGACTGTTACTCCACAGAAATGGGTCATTTCAGCTCCCTGAGCAAATGCAGTGCAGGATGTTTAAGTATTTATCTGCTATAGACTCACGTGATGGGCAGTAATGGCGCTGAAGACATCTTCGCTGCGGCGCCTGTCACCCCAATGAGAGATTGTTCCTCTTCCTAAATAGGATTGCAAAGGAAAGAGGGCTAAGTCATCGTAGCTTGGCTTTCCTTTATCTCAGAGTAAGACCATGCACACGGGCTCTCACTGCAGAGGAGCTGATGCCTCAGGTGTATGCAGCGGCCAGTTCATGCATCCCTGCCGCCAGAGGCAAGAAAACAGTTGCTCGTTTGGAGTTGCTTTGGGCTGATCATAGTGTTTGCTCTCACAACCTGGCTAGTCCTATGTCCTGGGCCACCCCAGTTTGCAAAGGGAGTCAGCACCAAAAATTTGCTATAGGAGCAGCGCAGAGAATCAGCTGCTCTCAGGCTTTGACTGCCTGGCACAGCTGGGCCCCACATGCAAGCACATTGGGTTAAGGCCATAAATAGGCTTCACGGTCCAGCTGGTCCTGCTTGGGTTTTAAAGCACCGCACATTGCTGTGACCTGAAGCCTACACACAGGATGCTGCGACTCAGCTAGAGCAGAGAGGAAACGCGAGCAGCACA